GCGTCCAAGCAGGTGCTAATGAGCTCAAATCCAGCCCTCGGGTAAGCGTGGTACCCGCGTACGAGCCCCCCAAAATTCTTCCAGCGTAAATTCATAACTCGGGGTTCCGAGAAGCTAGAGAGCTGAAATCTTAGAGAGGTGTTCCCTGTCTAAGTGGGTATTGACGAGTTCAAACCCTACCCGCGGATAAGCGTGGTACTTGCGTACAGGCCCGTGAAATGTTCCTCCCAGGTAAGTTACTTACTCGAGAACGTGAGAAGCTAGAAGACTGGAATTTTGAGGAGATGTTTCCTGATAGTTCTGGCGGCCAGTCCGAAATTCTTTCAGCTAGAAGCATCTGCCGATAAAACCGATGCCGGTAGCGACAAAAACTGCGGGGAATTATTTAATTTGGTGCGTTTGTATACGCATCTGTGTTGGACGCATCTTCGCACGGGCAGCCCGTGCGTTGGCCAATTATTTCTTTATGACGGCTTCTTGGTTGCTTTTTTGCGTGTTTCCCTCGGCACCGAATGCAATTTCTCCTGGGTTATCAACTCGAATACCAGTTAAGCTAGAAAGCTGAAATTTTAGAAGGATATTCCCTTCCCCACATGTGACCCCTTCGAGTTTAAATTCGGCCTTCACATGCGCATAGATTTCACGCATCAAAAAATAGGGATTTTCACCAAACAGAACTTTCCGACGATTTTTGCACATACCAAGCAGTGGAGCAGTGAGTATCTTTAACAACAAACATCTATTAGACAGAATTGCACAAAACGCATAACCGCACGAGCTACCCTGGTGCGCACCGCTGTTTATTGTCTTTATTTGTGTTTTCCAATCTGAGCTATGTTTACCAGTGTGAAGTATCAAATCGTGTAAGGCTGTAAGATCTCATTAGTTCTGTTTGGCTTTTCACCTTTATCTACTGCAAAAAGAGAGAGAGAGAAATTATTGGTTTGTTCTCCTCTGTGCCGCGATTTTCACAGTTGCAAAAAATGCCTTTAAGCATGAAATCGATTTGTTCACCCCTGTTTCCCTTCGTTTTACCCTTCTGTGCGCCTGTATGCTTCATAACTAAATTTTACACCGTTGTTGCTAAAACTCCCAGAAGAGTATCTGTTTTGATGCTACGTACCTATTTGCTCGGGGAACTGGAAAAAAATGGTGATTTTGGTTAATAGTGATTTTGTTAACAATGAAAAATAATAATAATGGTGATAATGATTTAATAATGAAAAATGATTTAATAATATATAATGATAATGACATAATTTATGAGAAATAATGATTTGATTTAACAAAAGAAAGAAAATAATGAAAATAATGATTTAACAAAAAAAAGTAATGAAAAAAATAATGATAATGACATAATTTATGAAAAATAATGATTTAATGATGAAAATAGTAGTGACTTTGTTAATAATAACCAGCGATTTTTTAGTTTATCTGAAATACTTCAGTTTTTGATACATTTTTCAGGCCAGCATCAAAAAATTGTATCACTACCAAATGGAGGTGCCGAATGGTGTTTTTGACGCGGTGTATGATGATTTGAAAGAAATTTATAATCAGATCGACAGGGATTTCGTGGATTTCCGTTACAAGAGCCGTTGGAACATTCACGACCTCTATGTTTCCGGTAGTAATCTTCAGTGAGTTTTTTATTCCATGCATTTTTTTTTTCGCCAATCTCTTAGTGTACAGGAGCTCGAGGCTCAAACTCTGCGTCAGCGAATGCTTTTTCGTAATCGATGATCAGGATTCAGGAGGGGCTGGTAAAGCCGGCGGAAATGAAGCAAATTTTAGCATTAGCTTTAGTGCAATAGTGTGGCTAGCTCTGCTGTAGATACGCCGAAAACAAGCCTATTTTTTTCGCCTGCTGCTAATCAGGGGATTTTTTTTAGTCAACTGGTAGTGTTGTTTAAGAAAAACCTGTAAATACGAAAAAGGATATCTTGCTTATCTCTTTTTTTGTGCGGTAAAATGGTTTTCGACTCTTTCTAACTGCTCGGTATCGTTTTTTCGGCTGGATATTGAATGGCGAAAGATAAGATTTCGTATCCCTCATCAGGGCTGCCTCTGTGACACTCTGCGATTGATTTTGGACAATCGCTTCCTGCTAAAATTACAAGCGTTCAAGGTTTTATTTTCCCCATCACAAACAAACGGACTTTACTGGCCTTCTCCGCTGCCTGCCCTGGAGTATCGCCCAGCAGATGTGCCTTTTTTACACGCCTTATTTTGTTGAAATAGAAGTAGAGGAATAGAAGGATTTCACTTGAATCATGTGCTTGAAGACATTTTGTGACGCAGTCTCTGTGTTTCATCCCTTAGCTGTATACGCAGACCGAACAGTGCATGCGGGTAGGAGTGGATATAGTGAGGCCATTAGAAGGCCGAACCGAAATTGGACGGTCCAAGTAGGGCAACCAAAGAAGGGTGAAGTTGTAAAGTGGTTTTTTGTGGCCGTTGCTAGGCCGAACCATAGCTTCTGAAATAACGGCCTGTATAAGCCAAAGAAAATTAAGAACAGCTGAATTCCTTGAGTTTTATGGGGGAGGGG